TACTTTTTATTTGATGATACAAAGTGTAAATTTACACTGTAAATTTGTGTATGAATATGGAATTTGTTCTTCTAGGTAATCTTTTGTATCTAACCTCCAAGTCATATAAGCCCTGTTGCTATGTTACGCAGGTGGTGATAGCAAATTTTGTAAACCCATCTCTAATTCTTGTCAGTCAGAAGTATATATTGGGCTTCCCTGGTGGGGCAGTGGTTGAGAGTCCGCCTGCCGATGCAGGGGACACTGGCTCGTGCCCCGGTCCGGGAGGATCCCACGTGCCGCGGAGTGGCTGGGCCTGTGAGCCATGGCCGCTGAGCCTGCACGTCCGGAGCCTGTGCTCCGCAGCGGTAGGGGCCACAACAGTGAGAGGCCCGCATACCGCAAAAAAAAAAAAAAAGTATATAAATCATACTGTTTAAAAATTATTTGATGCCTGGACAAAAGCTGAATAATATTGTGGTGGTTTTTGGGGCTGGCATAAATTCAGTAATTTCCTAATAAATTATGTGATGATGCCTCTAGAATATAAACTCCATCAGGAGATGGATTTTTATCTGTTTTGTTCACTTTTGCCTGACACATAGAAGGTTCTTCTTACATATTTACTAAACGTATGAATCTTAAATAGGTGTATTCAGGTTCTACTCTTCTGTAGAGTGCAGTGAAAGTACAGTGACATAAGTTTTTAACAGTATAAAATAGAATTTATCATTGAAGCTGGGAACATGAGATTTTTGCAATCTTATTAGTGTTATTTTTTCTTTTCTTCAGGTGACCTGATGGAAGGTGAGCTTTATTCTGCACTCAAAGAAGAAGAAGCATCTGAATCTGTTTCTAGTACCAATTTCAGTGGTGAAATGCACTTCTATGAGCTTGTAGAAGACACAAAAGATGGCATCTGGCTGGTTCAGGTATTAGAAACAGTGATAGAAGTGAAATTATTTTTACCAATATAGTAGTCACCAGCTGGTGACACTTCTGTGTGCTTGTGTCATGTTTCTTAGACATAACTCACTTCTCATAGGGAGGCTCCACTGTCCCCTTAAAGAGGTTTTGCAGACCAACAAAAATGAAAATTAATTAAAGAGTGGGGGAAGGGAAGTGTCGGGGAAAGAGGGTTGACTGTTTTGTTAAGAATCAGCAGAAGCAAATCCATTTTAGTTGTTGGATCTGCATTATAAAGTAAGAAACATATATATATTCCTTTTATTTAGTGGTTTGTACTGTTTCTTTCAGCTTTTGTTAACTCCAGTTTTTAATTCAGTTTTTAATTCATCATTTTTGTTTCTAAAGAAAGACCTATAGCCAACTTTGCGCCTATAGAGGAAGAACTATTGTGGGGAATGGTGGGGGAACTTATTACTTTGCTCATGAAATTGATGAGATTATAATTTTAAACCCTGGCTCTTATGCTATCAAAACTGTGAGATTTAATTAGCATATTAGAATTTTAGAGCTGTAAAGGGCCTTAAAAATCATCTTTTATGCTTCCCAAAGTGTGGTTTATGTGCCACTCATGGTAAATGAGTGGACACACATTATCATTTGTGTATTTTTATGTAAATTAGAAAAATCAATATTATATTGAACATGGAATTTCATAAATATTGCTTAGGGAAAGTCTGAAGTTATTTAAATTTTTTAAAATATAAGTTCACTTAAAGTAACATATTAAGTAAATTAACAACATGAATTCAGCTAAAATTATGATTATTGAACCAGAATCAAATCCCAGACCCCCTCATTTCTTGTCCAGTGTTCTTGTTATTTCACATTGGGGTTGGCAAAGTTTGATTCAGGGCATAAAAAACAAAATAATTGCTGCTTCATGTTTCTTCCTGAGAACGATGACCGCAAAATAGGGTAGAAAAAGCTATTCAGTCCAGATGCCTTATTTGCAGATCTGGTCCTGTCACTGATTTGCAATGTGATTGTGGATAGATAGATTTCCTGTAGCACATGGCCTCAAATAAATACATATACACCTAAAGAAGATAGAATAGTACTATAGTCCACTGGGCTAACGGGTTGAAGTTTGGGAATTCTTCAGGTGATTGCATTGGATATCCATGACCTTTCCTTTACTTGCCACCTTCTTATTGTGTTTGACCTTTTACCCTCCAGATAATCTAATTCGGCATTTTTTAAGTCTAGCAAACAGAGAAACTGGGAGGAGGGTATGGGTATTGTCTATACATTATCCATCAAATTCTAGTTTGTGTGTTAAATTATTGGTATTGAAAAAATAAACTGTAGCATCTTTAAAGCCTTAATTTATAAATAGTTATTCTATTTCTTTTCCCAGATATTTATTTCTGATAGTTTGATCGAAGAAGACTTAATGGTTTTGGTAACTTCAATTTTATTCCTGAGACTGAACTGAATAGCCAGTCCCCTGCCATGTGTCCTATATCTCATGTTTGTCCACACATTGAACGGTCCCATAGAGATGAATGGTAAAGATGCTGAACACCTTCCAAAGTTGGAAAAACCTATGTCAAAAGTCTGGAAATTCTTTTGGTATATAGAGTGCTGCCTATAGACTACGAACACATTCTGCTTCACTAATTAGCATTATAGTCTTGGCTTATAAATGATCTGCTATTTTTCTATGTCATATTAAAGGTAAGCATGGATTAAACCCCCTTAAGATGTTACAAAATTCATACAGTTTATTCAGCAGTTAATTGTACACCAGGCTCTGGAGATATACCAGGAGCATACAACAGGCTAAGTCCTTGCTCTTTCAGGCAGCTCACATTCCAGTTGGGAGAGGGAGGCACTAACTAAATAAATATTTAATATAACATTAGTTAGTGGAAAGTGCTAAGAAGAAAAATAAGCAGGGTAAGGAGACAAGAGAGTGGCAAAGAATTCCCTGATAAGGTGATACTTGAATGAAGTGAAGAACAAGTAACGAATGGTAGTGAATGTAAACATTATAAATTCTAATCACGGAATTATTTTTCTCTGAAAATGTTTTTTTAGACTTCATAGGCATCAATAGTGAATGGTGCAGTAAGACACAATTTTTCCAGTGACCTTCAAGATTTGCAGTGATCACCACTGTCTGGCTTGTGTTCCCTCGGGCCAGTGGCTTACATCTGTCAAATGGCTGGCTTGGGTTGGAAGAACAGTCTCTGGTAGGGCAACTGAGAAGATTGAGATCGAAACCTCAGTCACAGTGCCTTCAGCACTCTGAACTCGCTAGCTAAGCTAATCAGCACAGACACTTTGGTTTAAGCTCCTAAGAGAGGGCCATGTTGTTTTGTCTTTTAATTGAAAATATCTTCTCAAAACAGAAGAGAAATACTCTCAGTTGCTTGTCATTCTTTCAGCTCAGATTATATTTATCTCATCTCTTGTGAAGGATAACATTCAAGAATTCAGTTTTTTTTTTTTAGATGTTGGGGGTAGGAGTTTATTAATTTATTTTATTTATTTTTGCTGTGTGGGTCTTCGTTTCTGTGCAAGGGCTTTCTCTAGTTGTGGCAAGCGGGGGCCACTCTTCATCGTGGTGCGCGGGCCTCTCACTGTCACGGCCTCTCTTGTTGCGGAGCACAGGCTCCAGATGCGCAGGCTCAGTAATTGTGGCCCACGGGCCCAGTTGCTCCGCGGCATGTGGGATCCTCCCAGACCAGGGCTCGAACCCGTGTCCCCTGCGTTAGCAGGCAGATTCTCAACCACTGTGCCACCAGGGAAGCCCAAGAATTCAGTTTTTAACAGTTTGAATTATCATTCTTTTCTATTTGTTTTAAAAGAAGCTGACTCATTTCAATTTGCTCTATCATTGTCGTTTTTTTTAATCTGTGAGGATGCATAGATCCCAAACAATTCAATCTTCTTCATATTGCATTTATTTTAGGTATCCTGGATAAGAATATTTAAGCGCATCAAAGTTCTTTCCTCTTTTTCTCCCAGGTTTCCAATATCATTTTCTTACTCAGATGAATTATACACTCAGATGAATACCTAACTCTCAGGTAGCATATAACTGATAATTAGCACTTTAGACTTTATATGTCATTGAAAGGATGTCTAGATTTACTGATTTGGGGAAAATGTGACTTTAATAAATGGGTATATGACTTAGCTATTCCATCACTTGGTCAGTTCATTATTTTTCTGGAATGGGTTGGTAATAATAAAAGATAATCCAGGTTGATTATCTTTTTTGGTGACACTGCATGTGGAGTGACACTACAAAAGGAAACATGAATTTCTATAAGTTAATTAATTCATCCTATATCGCTTATGATTTCTATCTTCTCAGTAACTCATGAGTTTATTTTCTGAATAATACATGTTAATGGTCTTCATATCTTTCTCCTCTTTTAAGATGTATTACTGCTCATGAATTATCCTTACATTAAAGCAGAGCGTTAGCGCACTTCTTTTCATGTGAGGCTTTTTCATGTCTCTCCTGTATTCTCTGTAATATGAGGTGGAAAGAACTAATTTTAGTTTCTAAGGCAGCAACACATATGGGACATCTTTAGCAACAATACACTGTGTAATCCATGAAAGAACCAAGTCATCTTTTTTCTGTCACTTCTTTCTAACATTCTAAGTTTTCCTGCTTTGTTCCTAACCTGACCTCATATCTTTCATTAGCTCTTTATTTCCAGTTTTGTGGATTCTTTGATTCTGCTGCCTACCAATCTTTTTAGCCTCACAAATAGAAGTTACTTTTCTTTCAAAAGATTCTTGGTCAGGCCTTTTATTGTTTTTTTTTTTTTTTTTTTTTTTTTTGGCTGTGTTGGGTCTTTGTTGCTGCACGCGGGCTTTCTCTAATTGTGGTGAGCAGGGGCTACTCTTCGCTGCGGTGCGTGGGCTTCTCATTGTGGTGGCTTCTCTTGTTGCGGAGCGTGGGCTCTAGGCGCGAGGGCTTCAGTGGTTGCAGCACGCGGGCTCAGTAGTTGCGGCACACAGGCCTTAGATCGCAGGCTCGGTAGTTATGGTGCATGGGTTTAGTTGCTCCACGGCATGTGAGATCTTCCCGGACCAGGAATCGAACCTGTGTCCCCTGCATTGGCAGGTGGATTCCACTGTGCCACCAGGGAAGTCCCAGTAGATAGGCTTTTGAAACGGAAAAGTTAGTGTACATTGTGGATTTTATGGATTTATCCTTATCTTAACATTTCTATTTCTACATTTTGACTTTTGTTCAAAGAAGTTCAAAGAGGGACTGTGCTATCTGTTCTCTGCTGGCTTTGTCACATTATAAGGAATTTAACATCAGTGGAATTGAGGTAGCAGTGAAAAGCATCATATGATTTAAAGTAAAGCTTTAGGTCAATATTTACTGAAGTATTATGTTAATACGGTTCCTGTTTGGCTGAAAAGAGTTACTAGCTGTTTTAAAACTTGTTTATTTTTTACTCCTAGACAGTAGTTTTGTTCAGGGAGGTTCTAAGTTATTTATTCCTCTCTTGACACTATGCTAAAGGTGAAATACTTGGCAAGCCATCTTATCCTTTATTTTGTATTGGTGAAGAGCTTTTATTTGTGTTTACTCAAAGAAAGCTAGTGAGGCTACCAAAGAAATAATTAAATGCTGTTGAATTTTGTTTTTGTCAATTACTCATCTTCACTTTTAATGATTTTATACAATTTGCATATATATATTTAGGTTGGTCTATGATTTTTTTTTTTTTTGGCCATGCCGTGCAGCATGCAGGATCTTAGTTCCCCGACTGGGGATCGAACCCATGCCCCCTGCAGTGGAATCGCAGAGTCTTAACCACTGGACCTCTGGGGAAGTCCCTGTGGTCTATGATTTTGAAAGTAGAAACTCGCTGTTCTAATGAAATATTGAGAGATGCAGAAAAATATTTTAGCTCTACACTCCTTTTATATGGAGTTATGTTATTTAATTTAGCCTCCATGTTGCTGTATGGGGATTAACAATATTAAAAGGGAAATGACAGATGTTCTGATTAGTAATAAAACCCACCTCTAAAAAATAGGCGAAAGTGTGTGGGTTTTTTCTTATACCAGTGTAACACATGTGGAAGGGAGTAAGCAATAACCTGAGGCCCAGTTTTTCTTTGTAAGTTTAACTGGACTACACAAGACTGACATCAGAAAATATGGCAACTTAGCATCTCACACTGTCCAACTCAGTTCCTTCCAGTGCTGTGCTGGAGCCAGCTCAAACTGCTTCATGAAGGGCGATTGTTAACATCCCTTTCCAACTCCACAGTTAGAGATGTCACGTTGGTAACTTGAAATCAGCCATGTGGGAGTATTTACACCAAGGAAATAAGTAAATGATAGAAATCAGAGCTTCTGTTTTCTTCTAGACAGCTAGTTGTTAAACATTTACCAGCAAACCACTGGTTTCATCCATTCATCCAACCATCCAACAAATATTTATTGAAATCTAATGTGTGCCAGCTGAACCTGTGATAAGGGCAAAAAAGACGAATAACCTACAGTCTGTGCCGTAAGACAGCTCACAGCTTGGTTTACTAAAATGTGTGGGCCAGTAAAAACTCTTAGCCTAGATTACCTTTTCCAGCTAAGTTAGATGGTCCGTGATGGTGCTACCATCTTGAGAGATCCTAAAGAGCTATTAGACGATAAAGTAGAAACCAGGAAAATTAGTACTAGGAAAAACCTAGTCGTTTTTTTTTCTGAAAAAAGTGTATTTTTAAATACACTGAACTGGAAGTCTTTGTGTGTGACTGGGGTCAAGAACACTGATGTGCAGTTGCATAGCCAGGTACCAGTTACGCTAATGTTTGTCGGAAAGCATCCCAGACGACAGGTTGCTGGGGAAGGGACTTGCATTATAACAGAAATCAGAAACTTGGAGCCTTTAGAGAACCTATATAATCAGAAGTAAGAGAATGAGTTACTAAACCATAAAAAGCTGAAATAGTTTAATTCAACATAAATATTTAATAAGTGCCCACCTGACTTAGGCACCATGCTAGCTGCAGGGAAAACAATGGTGAGCAAGTGTAGGGTTGCTGGTTAGAGAGGCAGATACCCTGGGAAGGGGGATGGAAAGATTGCTTCACTGCTAGCCTATGTTGCCAGGTCCGTTCCAGACTTGAGACTTGGAACTCAGGCTGTACTTTCATCTAGTTTTTTCTAGTCTCTGAGAATATTCCCCACAGAGAATGCAACATCCTTCGTGAACTGCAGGGGAATATGTTTCCCGTTTCACCACCAGAGTGAATGCCATTCAGAATCACTGTGCATGCTTTTGGATGTGAGCTATAGCTTGGAAGCTGTTACTGATGTGACACAGTAGTAATAGGCTTAGAGTATTTTGTTGTGCCATGTGACAAGCCAGATGAGTTATTTTGTTAAAACATTTTTAGTGGTTGTTTAATTTGGCCTCCACGAAATTTAATTTATGCTAAACCTTCAGTTGAATAATATAACTATATAGGACATTGGATAAAGCAATTTCTAATTGCGTAAATATAACTAAAGAGTCAAATAAGATGCTTTCATGCACTGCCTAAGGGATTTTTCATTTTTGTGTGGTTCTCTTAGTCAGGAATCATTAAACTCTTCAAAGCAGATGTTGGAATAGCTTGCTGAATAAATAAGGCCCTGGGGTTAAACATTGTCATGTACCTGCCTCAGAGATATTCACCACCTCTCTTCACACACTTTTGTTGTCTGTCCTATAACCAGGGGTGCCTGGAACAACCCCCTCATTCCTACTTCCTTTCTTAGCATTGGATGACTGTGCAGTGATCAGGATCTTCACTGAAAGATGCCCCTAGACTGAGGGCCAAATCCTATATTGATTAAAGCAACCGCTTGATTACCCCCTTGACACAGTGTCATTATGAATACAGACCTGAAGTGTTTGGGTTATTTGCAGCCTTGATCAGGAAATAGGAGTGAAAGGGGAGTTATTTTAAAAAACAGGGCAAAGACCAGGGAGTATAGCGATATGATTTTACAGAGATTTCTTAATCCTTCTGAGTAATCTGAAAAATAAGTTCAAGATTTCTTTGGTTACTTGATGGAAGAAAGAACTACCATATTGACTCTTCCGTGGCAGGAAAAGAAAAACAGAAGAGAAGAGAAAAGCCTGCCTTGCTTCATCTCCCTTATTCTTCAGATAAAATTTATAAAGTACTTTTAGACAATGGAAAAATGTGGAAGCTAGGAACTTACTGGGTAATGTAACCTGTGTGACCCTCCTCAGAAAGCACTTTCACCTGCTAAGACCATGGCCTCAAATTGCTCTCCTCCTGGTTACCTCAACCGCCTGAGCATTTTAATAACATGTGCCTCCCTCATTAAGGCCATTTATTTTCACTTAAAAGTACTATCAGAACCATTTGTTCAGTGCCCTAAATTGTATGTTTGTGTATGTATTTATTAAGCCTCAAAGTTATGTTACAAAGTGTTACATACCTGTGTGTGTCTCTGTAGGTATGAGGATGATAGTATCAATGATATATGGCAAAGGTTATTGGACAGTAATCTGTTGGCACATAAAGTGAACTTTAAGTCACTTGTCACCACCATGCACTTTCTCTCCTCCTGCGGCCCTTGAAATTTGTTAGACTTCCCAGCAGAGAGACCAGAGATGAGGTATTTGCACCAACTCTTGCCTCTCCCAGGCACTCATTACACACACTCACCTGGGATTTCACTTCCTGGAGGCTTTGTGGACGTGAAAATGGCCCTTCCTTCTAGAGAGTTTAGAGGCCCCCAGAGTATTGTGCTGTAATTTTGAGTTAAATAGTATCAGTAATATAGCATTCATGAAAATAAACTTGGCCTGTATACCCTGGGCTTAAAATAAACAGATGGGTTCATGAAGACATAGGACACTTTTGGATTTTCTTTAATTTCCCATTTAGTTATTTTTGTTTTTAATATATACTTTTTGTTTGTTTTTTACTGGTATCTCTATTCATTAAAATCAGGAAGATAAGGAATAAAGGGAAAAGGTATTAACAATTAGAAAGTCTGAGAAAAGTCATTGCATATTTTGAAGGTTAATCTACATTAAAAAAAATTTTTTTTCTTCCCCCAATCCTAACTGTTTGAAAGCTATTTGCAAATTTGAAGTTAGAAGTTCAAGAATGTAGAATTTATTAATGGTAATTTTTTAATATGTTAGAACCTTTCGTGATTGTTAAGAAAAATGCCATAGTAGTAGTATATTGTTTTAGTCAAGCATAGTTTAATAGAAAACATGTGTTTGACTCTTGGCTCCATAATTACACTTTTAAAAAAGTGAAATTTGAACTCGTTGAACCGACATGTGGTAATTTTTAGTAAGCTTTATTTGGGTTATTTAAAATTTTCTTTTTAGAGCAGAGAAATGACTCCAAGGGCCATTTTCTTCCTGTGTAAGTTAATTCTAGAGGATAAGCCACATGGAGGAGAATGTGGCTAGCTTTTTAATATGGTTTTGACTCCCCTTCTGCATAACTACCACAGAGTGTGAGAGTTTAATGTACTGTATTCAGTGTTTTAAATCTTTTCCAGTTGGACAGTTGCTCCTTTTACAAGAATTGCAGTGATAATATGATGACATAGTAAACAAGACCTAGGAACAGAATATGTTTTTCAAAAAAAGTAAAGTTATAGATGTAAATGGTGGGTTTGACTCCATTTCAGGTGATTAAAGTATCTGTTTTTCTTTTGGGGGGAATAGGTTATAGCAAATGACAGAAGTCCTTTGGTGGGTAAAATCCACTGGGAGAAAATGGTGAAAAAGGTGTCAAGATTTGGAATACGTACAGGCACGTTTAACTGTTCCAGTGACCCCAGGTAAGTTGATTGGGCAATTCTTAGAATTTGAGTTCTGACCAGAATTTTTTTAATGTGATAAAGACAGTGGTATTAGAAGCCTGTTGAAACTGAAAGTTCATTAGCGTGTTTAGCATGTTGTTAGCTACACAGGTATCTGATGAATAGTTTCTGATAACTGGCAGTTACTTACTTTCTCTCTGAGCTCTCTTTCTGTCTGGTTCTTCTATGTTGTTTCTAATGGGGGTGACTCTTTAGAGTATGTCTTCGGTCTTTTTTGTTTCAATTTTACTTCCCAAAGAGACTTCAGTACACTGATGGCTTTAGGTGACACCTTTGTGCTGATCTAAATCTCCTTTCATGATTCGGACCTCTCGTTTGCATTTTGACACTCGTTTCCATTTGCCATACGAGTACCCCAGATAGACTCTGTTCCCTAAACCTGGTATTCAAATTCATATTCGTCTTTTTTTTTAGTAAACCATGTGCCCTTTCTGCCTTTTCTTTTTCTGTCCTTTACTATTTTTTTTTTCCATTTTCTCAGACAAAAATCTTTGCAGGCATTTTTGTTTTTCTTTTTGTCATCATCTCCAGTATTTAGTCTGTCACATTATTTCTTGTTTCATTATTCCATTGTTTCTTCTTTGAAATGCGTTTTATTTCAATTTCTAGTTCCTCCAAGTTATGACTTGAATTCATTTGTTCATTTAATTATCCATTCAGCAAATATTTAATAAAAGATTAGTTGGACTTCCCTGGTGGCACAGTGGTTTAAGATTCCGCCTGCCAGTGCAGGGGACACAGGTTCAAGCCCTGGTTCAGGAAGATCCCACATGCCACGGAGCAACTAAGCCCGTGCGCCACAACTACTGAGCCCGCGTGCCACAACTACGGAAGCCCGTGCGCCTAGAGCCCGTGCTCCACAACAAGAGAAGCCACTGCAGTGAGAAGCCCGCACACCACAATGAGTAGCCCCAGCTCAATGCAACTAGAGGAAGCCCGCGTGCAAAGACCCAACACAGCCAAATATAAATAAATAAATAAATAAATAAATTTAAAAGAAAAAGATCAGCACGTACAGCATGTTCTGTTCAGTGCTGAGGACGGGGCGTATGATATGTATGGAGAAGCCCCCACGTTAGGTAGTTTCTGATGTAGGTAGATACACCTGGCTTACCTATGTCCATTATATGTGGTCACAGTGGGAGACCCATTCGCTGTAGAAAACCCTCCTCCACCACTGCTTCACCTCAGATTCTCCTGCCCTTCTCCTTCAGGCTTACGTTTGCTTCGATTTTCCTCACTGTTCTTGTTTTGCTCACTTGTAGTGTAGGCTGAGATGTGTGGTAGGAGGACTTCTTAAACGTTGGGGATAAGAGGGGAACTTGTGTCTCCTGACTCACATTTAGTCTCCTCATTTACCCACAAAGCTCCCATTTTCATCTTCAGCACAGAACCTTGATCATATTCTAATGCCTTTGGTTGAAATGTCCAAGATAGTGTAAGTGTTCATGTTCTTATGAAAAGGAAATCATTCTTATTTCTGTCTTGTGTTTACCAAAGACAGTGGCATTTGGTCCTATTCCATCATTCCCAGATGGTCTAAGTGAAAGATCTTTTTCTCTCCCACTGGTGATTGCAATACCAGAAAAAATGATAGTTCTGATGTTTTGATTTTTTTTTTCAGATAATGCCAAAAGTCAGTATTAACATCACCAATTTATTGAAAAATATTCAGAACTTATTTTTTTAATGAATAAACTAAATAATACATTTTAAACACTAACTTATAAATATATTAGAAAATATCAAGTGCAAAAATATAAAGGTCAAACACATTTCAGTCTAACGTAAGTTCTTAAATAACAATAGAGGATTCAAAACGAAACTAAGCACGACATAAAGTGAAGATGATCTATTCAGCATGAAAAACTGAAGGAAATAGTAGACTTGATTTTTAATGTAATTTTATAAAGCAAAATGCATCAGAAGTGTCATAATTGAGTCCAGTGGACTTTAGCACAAATTTTTCTAGCTTTTCTTTTGAAAAGCCCTTTTTGATTCTATACCAGCTGAGGAACGGTGAAGAGATACATATAATCTACCTCCAAGTTTTCTCTAAATCCTTCATCTTCGTCTTCAGATAATCCCACCTCTTATTTATGACGGAAGAGACCTTTTTTGAGCAACTTTTTGCTTTTTTGTTGACTGCAGCTATAATTTTTTGTTATTAAACAAGCACTTTTACGTCATCTTCCTTAGTTTCATCACAAAGATGAAGATCTTGATGCAGAGTTACTTATATCAGTTTCAGTATTGTCATGTTGGTTTCCTTTGATTTGGAAAGCCTTCCAACTAGAGTGAGAACTATTCTTGTCATAGATGCTGTGCTTAGTCAGGGTCATTTTTTTTCTTTTTTTTGAGGATTATGGAGATGCAGAAGAACAAAATAGGGAGATAATAGAAAAGCGTGTTTAGAATGTCAATGCAGGGTGTAACTGGGCAGAGAATAGTGCTATTCAGCAAGCAAGCATTTTAATATGTTGAATAATTCAGTCATTATCTTGATCTCAGATTTTTAAAAACAGCAAAACTCTCTACTCTGCTGCCTATGTTGCTTTCTTTGACTGTAGTTCCTTCTCTTGGGTGGCCTCCAGGACAGCCTCCTCTGATGTGCTGGCCCCATTGTATCGTAGTATTTTCCTGGCCTGTTTTGCTCCCCTTAAGAACATTCAGGACCTCCACTCTGTACAGTACCTGACTCTGTCCATGGCAGCAGTTTCCATTTCTTTCCCACACAGCCATCTTGCCTGGCCCCAGTTCCTCGAATTCCCCAACCCAGTGATCTATCTCAGGGGCCTTTACCCCGTCAGGTCTATTCTCTACTCTTTTTCTGCCCCCACCTTTGGAGAAAGAAGGAAGTGACGTGGGATATGTATCGGGAGGTTGGAGAGGCGGGGCAGAGATAGTAAAGAGTGGGATGGCACGGGAATTACAGGAGCTGAGTGATAAATGGGCCAGGAGGGCTTATGGTGCCAGAATCAGGGATGCGTGCCCATGGGCTAAGCAGGGAAAAGAAAGTAAAGGGAAGATTGGTGAGCAGGACAGGAAGGCCAAGGAGACCAATGACCTTGTCTGAAGAAACAGCATTTTATGAACAGAATACCAAGGTTTCTTCTTAAATATAGTATGCCTTATCAGAAGCTGGAGTGCCAAAACTCACTAGCTTTGTTTTTTTTTTTTTTAATCATTTTTAGTCTTCAAATTCTCTAAGAGATCTCAAAAGGTTTACTTTAAGAACTAGAGGATATTTTCGTGGTGTCGTCATTGAACTTATTCAGACCTTTAAAAAGGTTTTTTAAATTGGCAGTAAAAAGTTTTTATATTGATATGAGCATTAGTCTTTTCTGTCTAACAGTGGGGTTTTAAAATTAATATGGTGTACTTTATTTGTGTGTTGGATTCCAAGTCTGGAAAACATGATTTAATTTGAAAGATATATGATGACATACAAAATTTTATTGTCCTGGGTACTCTTAAATTCTTGTGAAATGATAAACCTTAAAACTGTCCCTTAGTTCTGAACTGAAAAGAAAGTACATAGTACATTTGTTTTCTTCCATGAAGAAATGTATGCGCTAAGATAAGACTTGGCTTGTTTTACACAGTAAAATTTTCTGTTTGAAAGGCTGTCATTTAATTTATGACACGAATCAGAAGCCAAATATTCTCTGAGGTGGTTATACAAAGATGAACAGAATGACCAAGAGTAGAAATGTGTCATCCCAAGTATCCTATGCAATTAAAAAAGTAAAGCTAGTTAGATATTTAAGATGTGAACAAGGCAACTATCTATATGTAGTTGACTTGTTGTTTTGGGGGGAGGGTGGTGGAAATGGCATTCATGTCAGTGAACTATTATTTTGCATTGGACAAATACACTGTTACAGAATAGAAGATATTTTATTTTGTCGGAGTATCTAATTCTTAACCCGTTTCAATTAAAGCAATATTGACATTAATGGTATCTATCTTGTTAAGGAAGTAAATCAACTCAACAAGAAGCTGAGTCGTAGTCTTTGATCCTGAGTCACCCAGATAGTTTCCCAGAGTCGTTACTAACCTTGTCTTTGTGACATAATATGTTGTCTTCGCTTATCTTAAATTATATCACGAAATTCCTGAGATAAGATTAATTGTACTATCATCATAAAACCATATGCCAGTACGTCAAGACTTCTATCTTAATCTGATCATATAAATGTATAATATGCTTATTTAATTTAATAAAATATAATCCATACTTTAAAGTAAAGCATAACATTTATGATTTTTTTTCCCCTTTTGCGGTATGCGGGCCT